GTTACTTACCTTTACTTTTTTTTTTTTTTAATTGCACACACTATTCTCATCTTTTGGATTATTTGACCGAGTGCTTTGATTTTCTGATTTAAAATATGTAAGTCCTCCCCAAATCACTAAGAATGACTTTGAATCAAAAGGCTTGTAGAGCTCTCGTGGATGTGACTACATCTACCAAAAAAACTTCACAAATCAACTAATACTGCATTACAACACCTGCTCAGTGTTGTCTTCTAAGTCAGCCAAGAGGATTGTTAAAGTAAACTTGAGTCGGAAGAATGAGTTATATACTTTTGTAAGTCACAGCATTAAGAGATTTGATCACTTCCTTACAAAGCTGGAGCCCACTAACAATATTTGAAACATCTGTCAAATCCCACTAGTGAACTTTCAGTGTACAGTAGGAAAGTAAACAGCCAATCAGTGCATGGCAAGACAGTGTGCTGTCGATTCAGACCCCAGCTTGCCACACATGAAGTCCTATGAAGTTTGTTTTGCTTTTTGTGGGGGGGTTTGGGGGTAAAAAAATCAAATATATTATTAAGAAGCAAACATACCCAATACAGTTACAGTTGTTGATGACTGAGCATTTCCTAGTGGGAATGTAACTGCTTTGCATACATATTCTCCTGAATCAGAGAAGCTTATATTGTTTAGGATGATAGTTGCATCAGTAAGTGAGTAGTTCTTAAATGACACTCTTCCTTGGTATTCTCCTTGAACAGAAAACCCATATTCAGGATGATGAACAGCAATGGTCTGTGTACTTTTACCATGTATCTTCTCCCATGAGATTTGTGTTATTGTTTCATTTATTTCAATTATGCATTTCAGTGTGACATTCTTCCCCCAAACTGCTGTTACATGTGGATCAACCACTGGTCCAGCCAAGGCACCTAAAAACAAAGAAATGTGACGTTAGTTGAATTTCATCAAACATCAAATCTAAAGGCACGTATTTACCTTTAGCTATAATTTTTGCATTTCATTTAAAATCTTAATTTATTACTCTATTGCATTATACTTCCCTGGAGGCAGGTTTTAGGGACTGATGCACAGAAGCGAAAAACCAGCTCCTGGGTTCCCACGCTGAGCAATGTATTTCATTACCAACACGAATAACTAGATTTGGCAGAAATTGATTTTTGTTTTTATAACTGAAGAATAATGTTTTTTTTAAAAAGGCTTAAAGATCAATGTTAATGTTCATATTTGCATGAAATTATGGCAGTGTCAGGACAATTATATAATGAGTAGATGTTGAAATTTAAACAGTTGAAGCTTTGTACCCATTAAAAAACAACATTATTTTGACATGTGACTAACAAAGTAAATATCCTTAAATCAAACTTAATAAGTTCTTAAGCAGCATTTTTATTATTTTACCTATCCATAAATTGTAATATCAACAGAGATATTTGTGTCAGTCTGTGTCTCTATGGTGAAATCAATGGTAACCAACATTTACTGATTTAAAAAAAGAGTGAAGCGTCCAATGCCATATGATAAGTCTGTGGCCAAGTCAGACATTGAACTTTTGTCATCCACCACAAGAATCTTTTCTCTAACTTCTATCTTGTCTTAGTGTTCAGGGAAGCTCCTAACAGGAAATAGCCAGTCAGAACTGTTACTATCTTATCTCAGCTACAGTCTGTCCTGCTTTCACTCCCCATCCGTTTACTTCTGCTGAATACTCATCTACACTAACAACTTTCACTCCACCATTCATCAGTACTTAGTCCCAATCCACTGTTTTACAAATTAGCTTCGAGTGGGCCAGACACCTCACTGCTTTTATTAAAAGTTCTACAATATTTACAACTTCATCAAGTGTTCAAGACCAAGACAAATAGTTTTAGAAATTAAGAACAGAGCTCATCCTCAAGGGCCATAACAAATTTGTGTGCGTCTGCACACAGAACAGCGTTTCTCAAATGCGGCCACCAGTGGATTTTTTTTTTTGCAGCCACAACAGCCTACATAGCACAGGCAGAGAATGGGGGAGGCAAAGCAGTGGCCCCTCCCTGCAGCACCCAGCTGTTTCTCTTGAATAGCTGTTACCAAGGGCAGTGCAATGTGCCACCATGGGGTTCACGCTGGTGCTGCCAGAAGGGATCAGCGCCCTTCACCATGAAGCCCCCTCTCCAAGCAGCTCCTCTGGAGACACGTGGGGCCACTGTGCATGTCCCTGGAAGCGTCTCTCATCAGTGGAAGCGACTGCAGTGATCAGTCACCGGGACTCTCTTCTGGCAGCTCCCCGGCTCCCGCCCACCCAGCCGCAGGTAGCCAGTGAGATCCCGGCCTCACTTCCCCGGGGTAGGCTCTCACTGAAGGGCAGTGGGAGGCAGGGATAGAGAGATGGATGTGTCAGAGTGGCCCCCAGCAAGAGTTGACACTCTGAAGCCATCAAAAAAAGATCTAGAACATTAAAACTAATTTAAAGTGCATTGGAGGGATCAGCCGTTTTTTATTTTTTCCCGTTGTTAGGCATTGTATGCAAACTGCAGTGCATTCTTAATATCTGAGCTTCAACTATTTAAAGCAATCAAGCACCCTATAAGTTACTGCAGAGCATAGATTTATTATAGTTATCAACTCAAACCAAGGACAAAAATTTAAGTCTAAGTCAGATTTCAGATCCAGTTCACAAGCAACACCAACTTTCAATTTCTGTATATGCTGCAGTGATGGTTATGAAGTTTCAAAATAAGCAAGCACTCTAAATGAATCTAGGCTCTTAAGGGTACTGCTAGGTGTTAAAAAAATATGCTAATCTACTTTATGCAATATGCTGTAAACTTTCTGAATAAAGACTTACTCCTATTTTTTCCTGGGTTACCAGGAACTATTTCACAAGGGAGTACCTAAAATTATCAGTAATGTTAATTCAAGCTCTCTGATTCCATGTTACCAAGTCAATCTCATGGTGTAGTCTAAATACCGTATTTTCCGGCG